AAAATAATATTCAAATATTTATTAATTATAATTCATTAAACAAATATTTTATTCACCATTATTCCCAAATGACTTGAAATATGTTCATTGTCAAGTCTCAACAGTAGAATTTGGTCAGCCATTGGAATGAATCTGTAAAAAAATTAAACAACAATATTTAAAAAATCATTTAATATAATCTAATATAAACTAACTAACTAACTAACTAATTTACAGCACAACAAAAAAATTTAATATAATAACTTATAATATAATAAACTAATAAACTAACAAACTAAACTTTTTAAAATATAACTTAAACGTGAATTTTCTCTTAAACAACTAATAAACTATTCTTTAATATAACTTCAACTAATAAACTATTCTTTAATATAACTTAAACTAATAAATGATTTTTTAATAATAATTTACTACTAAAAATTAATTAACTAAATTTTTTATATAATATAAATTCAACAAACAAATATAACTTAACTATTTAACTAACACAAACTAATTACATATTTTTTTATATATAACTAACGACTAACAAACTAACTAATTATTTTTATTAATATATAACTATCAAACATACTAATTAAATAATTTTTTATTTCTATATGATATAACTTAAACTAACAATAATATAACTTAAACTAACAAACTAATTAACTAATTTTTTGTTTTACCCTAAACCCTAAACTAACAAACTAATAATTTATAATAATAAACTAATTTAAATAATTATTCTTTTTATATAACTTAAACTAATAAACTATTTTTTATTATAATAAAACTTAAACTAATGATAAACTAATTAACTAATTTTTTTTATATAATATAAATTAAACAAAAAAATATAACTTAATTTTTTAACTAACTACAAACTAATTAACTATTTTTTATATATAACTAACGACTAACAAACAAACTAATTAATTATTTTTTTAATATATAACTATCAAACAAACTAATTAAATAATTTTTTATTTATGTATGATAGAACTTAAACTAACAATAATATAACTTAAACTAACAAACTAATTAACTAATTTTTTGTTTTACCCTAAACCCTAAACTAACAAACTAATAATTTAAAATAATAAACTAATTTAAATAAAATGAAAATTTACCTCGATGTTTGCCGGACTCCCTTTCTTCTTCTTCCTCTTATTCATTTCCTTTCTCTCAACACTCTTCTCCCTTTCTTTCTTATGATTCCTTAATCCCATATCATACCCCATATATTAAAGGGTCGGCTGCTTCAATTCATGCACCAATAATTGAAGACATCACAAGCCGTTGGATTCTCGTGGATTGCAGCAATAATGGCTGCATGAAGCAGCAAATGATGTTGTATGAAGCAGCGAAAATGATGCTGCAATAATGCAACGAATAAAGCTGCATGGAGTAGCGGGGAGCAGGAAATCATGCAGGAATCTCGCCGGGATCACATGGCGACCTACCATGTTGCCCAGCGTGCATGGCGACCTACCCCACGTTCATGGCTCATGCATCACATAGCTCATTCGGTTCATGGTTCGGATGCCCTCGCATAGCTCGCTCGGATGCCCTGGCGACCTACCTCGCACGGATGCCATGGTGACCTTCAACAGCTCTCTCAAAATGTATGGCGACCTACGACGACACTGTGAATTTCACCCTATCTCAACAAATAATATGACCAAAATATTATCACGTGAAATAAATAGTTTGATAACATTATCTCTAGAGTTTTGTCATTTTTTCCTATTAAAGATAATCTACAAGGAGTATGTATTTGAATCGGAAAAAATGTTTAACTTTTAGAGCGTGTTTAACACGGAGGGTAGAGACGTGTGGGTAACGCATGGTAGAAACAAGAAGCACAGAGAAATCCCAGAGACGTACAAATCCCATTTTATAAATGGCGGCGAATTCTAGGTTGCCCGCCACGTTCCTTCTAGCAGTTAAAAAGTAATTACTTTACTAATAAATAAATCAAGTTTGAAACTTGAATAATAACGGTTCATTTATTATAAATATAAAAATATAATATCAAACAAATTTATTATTTTAAGAAAAATATATAATTTAAAATAAATTAATTATATTAATATATTATTCTTTTTAAATTAATCAATTTAATTCGATAAAAATATGATCATACAATATAATGGTTAAAAACTTAATTAAGTAATTATAAAATAAAAAATACAAACTCAACCGTAAATGATAAATACCCTCGACAGTAACATAATAATAAAAGATGATGACATGTTAATAATTGGTTTTATCATAATACAAACGCAATACATAGGAGATTATTACATGTATATATCAATATAGAGAACTGATTTGATAGTTTAAAAAATAACTATTAAATGAATAGTTGAAAATAAATACTCTCAACCAACAAATATTCTTTTATTAGGTTAAAATATTACAAAGTAATATATGTTTTAAATATTTTAACTATTTGATAATGAGTGTAAATATCTTTAGGGTTGTTGATGTTTGAACCCGTAGACTCTAAAAATAACAATTCCTTTAAATACTGAGATTTAATATCCTAAATCAAAATAAAAGAAAGAGTAAACATTGTCTTAGCAAGTTTTTTTCTACTTCCCATTTACATGAGAAAGTTAATAGAAGTCATATTCTCGTGTTTAAACAGAAAAAAATCTCCAAACTATGTTGCATTTCAAGGAAAATAATTAAAATTTATCATACTAAATATTGAAATCACATTTAAACTAGATTTGTAATTTTAAAAAACTTTTATTATATCAATCATACTTTTAACTCTTAATTCATAATATATTGAAAAACAACAACTGAAAATTATTATTTTCAGTGATATATTTAATAATCTAAGATGAAAATAATTTTATAAAAGTTTTAGATGAAAAAGTATAAAATATAATAAACAGATAAAGATTTACTTGTCACAATGTAAAATAAATTATAAATTCAATGTATTTTATTTCTTTCAAAATTATATTATTTTTTTAAAATTTACATTTATCAAACAATTTAATTATATTTAATAATGAATTTTAAATTATTTTTAAAATAAATTTTATAATAAAAATTTCAATACTTATTTTTTTTAATTTATTAAACATCACCTTAATCTTATTTAAAATATTTTTATTAAATATTATGTTTTAATTTTAAAATATTAAAAGAAAAATAATTTATAATTTTATTATTTAATTAAATTATATTTTTAATAAAAATAGTATAATTAATTTTAATTTGACATAGCTTAATTAGAAGCCTTTTATATGTATGGCTATGAAAAAAATATAATATTAATAGGAAAACTAAAATAAAAATAATGTAATTAATATAAAAAATACAAAAACAATTTTATAAAAAATTATAAGAATGAAAATTATTCATGAAACTATTATTAAAAATATTTTAAAATTTTAAAATCCTGATATTTATTCTAACTTATTATTAATACATTATTACTATTTTTTCAAAAAATCAAAAGTAAGCAGTGACGCCAGGACAAGCGAGTGATAACAAAGGTGTTCAGAAAGATTACCAGCATAACCTCAAGTGATTAACTTAATTAGGATGATTTATTTAATCAGTAATTAAAGTGCCAGATTAGAGGGGCTAGGGGAGTGGTCAAAGGGTTTATCTCCTAAATAAAACACGGGTAAGTACACAAATTGTCATATAATTATAGGATATTGATTTATTGTGTCCCCGAATATGATGAGTTATTTTATTGAGTTACTCGACTATTAAAAATTACAACATGATCACTTAACTATTCATTATGTTTTAAACTCGTTCTTTTCCATTTAAAAATTAATGATTATTTGAGTTGAACGTTAACATGCTGGCTGAGATATGATGGTTGTTTGAGATTATGATATCATATTTTATCATATCTCAATCAACAGATTAACGTCTAGTTCAGATTTTTGTTAATTTTTTAACGATAAATAATGAGTTTAGAATATAATAAATGATCAGGTGACCATTTTATAACTTTTAATAATCGAAATATTAAACAAAGCAGTATCATATATAGTGGCAAAACACAACAGACGTTAGTGGGGCCACAACCCCCCCCCCCACAAAATTTGAAAAATTGTAATTTAAACCATTAAAATTTTAAAAATATTTAATTTGGTGTCCATAAAAAAATTTAGAAATTCACATTAATCTTTAAATTTTTTTGATTATTCTTAATTAAACTCCTCTCATAATTTTTAAAAAAATTCTCATTAAGTCTCTTAAAAATTTAAAATTTTTGGTTAGACCATAATTTTTTTGGAAAAAATATAAACTGAACCCTTCAAAATTTTAAATTTTTTAATTTAAAACTATAAATTCTTAAAAAATTTAAGTTGACCCTCAAACTTATCATTAAAATTCCGCCAATGATCCCCTAATCAGGGGATCATTTGTGTATTTTACCCATAAAACAATTTGACCGACTAACGGCGAGCAACACAGCCGGGTATCTTGGGCCTCACGTACTTCGACAAGCTGATTCAGCATTCCATGACGTACTATTGGACCAAAGTCCACCCACGGGACCAACTCCCCGAAATCGGACGCCACCGTCGGGACGTGGCGCCTTGTTCGTCACCGGGATCTTCGCTGTTATGAGATGTACGTACACACTGATAATACCCGATCATTATGAACCAAAATATCTTTTTTCATTAATTATATTTATGATATTATTACCATCTTTGCCATTATTCTAATTCCAACTATTGGAAACATCCTATAAATCGTCAAATTCAGAATTTGAAGACTCAACTCTGCCTCTCTACGACTGTACCTTTTTTGATTTCCTTCCTTATTTGATTTCCTTTTCTACTGGGTTTCACTCTCTCCTTTTACATCTCTTCCTTTTAACAAAACTTTAGTCTTCTCTCACACCTTTTTGCAGATTTCTGATTCAGCCTTGTCGATTCAAGTTTCAATCTTCTCTTTGACGGTTCTTTACCCTTTTTCAATGCGCACGGACGGAATCTGAGACCAAAACATCATACTATACCAGACATGGATTCAACTATCTTATGTCCGATCAAGTACACCGAGCACAAAAGAGTCACAAAAATGTTCAGAAAGCCGTCGTTGAAATCCAAAAGAGCTGCTTCCGATTATGACCATGACTCTACGAACAGCGGTGTTCCTAGGGTTCCGAGAATCGTACGGGTGTCCGTTACGGACCCTGATGCAACCGACTCATCTAGCGACGATGAAGCTGGATTCATTGGTCGGCAGAGAGTGAAGTGCTATGTCAACGAAATCAACATCCAATCCTCTTGCAACAATGGGAAGAGGAAAGCCGCCGCTACCTACGTCGCAACCGCCTGTCGTAGACCGGTTAAGGTTTCTTCGGGTAACGGGAATGGTAGGAAGTTCAGGGGTGTACGGCAAAGACCCTGGGGTAAATGGGCGGCGGAAATTCGAGATCCTGCTCGACGTGTACGGGTGTGGTTGGGTACTTTCGACACTGCTGAAGAAGCCGCCATGGTTTATGATAATGCAGCAATCAAACTCCGGGGACCTGATGCTCTGACCAACTTTGTTACTCTGCCGGCTAAGGAAAACATGGAAAAGCCTGAAAATATTAAAGTGGCTTCTGGGTATGAATCAGGGGATGAGTTATCTCGCAATCTTTCTTCTCCGACTTCTGTTCTTAACTTTCGAACTCAGTCAAGTGAAAAAACAGCAACCGAACCGGAAAAGCCAGTTCAAGAACTCCAAGAAGAAGAGAGTAAACCGTCGCCGGTGGTGGTTCCTATCAAATGCGAGTGGCAAACTGAAACGAACTTGTTCGATCATTCGGGAGACTATTTGCCGCTTGATTTCCCTTTTCTGGACGAGTTTTTCAACGTTTCAGTTCCCGAGTTATCGTTTTTAGATCAAACAGCAACGGAGTTGCCGGTAAGTGAAAATTTTAGCGACGCGTTAATCGACGTAGCTCAAGATTTTGCTTGCTGTTCATCATCGTCGTCGTCTATTTCTCAAGTGGACGATTACTTTGACGATATCGGAGAAATATTTTTCTCAGATCCTCTTGTAGCATTATGAGAACAACTTTAACGGTTTCCTGGAGCGATGTAGCTGGAAAATTTTGTCGGAAAATTTAGATAGATGACCATTCAAAAAATTGGTCAACATATTAGACATTATTTTCTTTTAATGTTGGAAAGCACTATAATTTATTTGTTTAATTTCTCTGTTAAAAATAAAGAGAGAGTTGAGTGTGTTGTTCTCAAGTTAAAAATAAGTAAGCTGCTCTTACTTAATTTTGACGGGAAATGGAAAACCTTCCTTTGTTAATCACTTTCCGGTAAAATTACTTAAATAACACACATTTTCCTTTTTCAGTCTATTACATTTGTTACGGTAAAAGTGAAGTCCGTCAAATCATATGCCGACTTCACTGTTTATTTTAATTTTTAATTAAAAATTCAAAGTCGATATATTTACATACTGATTTCACTAATCATTATTCTATAAAATGACTTTTTAAATTAAAAAATAATGAATAATAAAGTCGGTAGATAAGTATATCGAATTTAAATTTTTTATAAATAAAATAAATAGTGAAATTGTTCGATCAATTTTAATTTTACTGTAATAAATATAATAAATTAAAAAATAAAAACGAGTGTGTACCGTTTTCAATTAAAAAATTCCAAGTGTAATATCTGAACAATTTCATCATCACTTCATACTCTGATTTGCCATTTTAGAAAGGAAAAAAAACTTTTACCATTCGAATGGATTCGATTGTGACGTGGCAAATAGATGCTTACTGTGATTCACGTGCGGGAATTAAAAAAATGCCATGCTGGCATTCCATTCAGCTTCATACGAGCAGGCGCAATTTACGGTCATGGCCGGCTAGTGAGTCTAGTCGGTGCCGCTCCGTCTCTGATGTCCAGACTCTTACTTATTTTCCATTTATTTTAAAATTAAATATTTGTCACATTATAATTTACAATTAGGATTTCAAATACTTATGCTATTGATAAAATTGGAAACAATAAATAATTAATTTCTTTTTAGACTAAAAACATTTTAATAAAATAATATTTATGCCCCTATTTTATATTTACTAAAATTAATTTTAATTTTTTTTATTAATTTATAATGTAATTAATAACCAATAGGATTCATTATAATATATGGTAATATGAATTGTCCCCTGAATCTAAGGTAGTAATGCGTTGTGAGTCGACTATTAAATGTTATAAAATGATCTTATGATTATAAGATATTGTTTTCCCGAGTCCCTCGACTATTAGATATTATAAAATGATCATATGACTGTTCATATATTTTAAATTCGTCTTATTTCGTAGAAATATACGACGTTTGAGATGGACGTTAACTTGTTAACTGAGATATGATAAAATATGGTTCTAGTGCTGTGTAGTTGTATTTTGTGGATCAACTTTTCGTTTATATTATGTTATCGAATCATTGCTTGAAATATTATGCTGTTGTGCCAATGCTTAAAAGCAACGACTGTCAAATTTTTAACGGAAAATGACGAGTTTGAAACATATAAATAGTCAGGTAATTATTTTGTAACCTTTCAGAGTCAAGGAATTCAATAAAATAACACTCTATAATTTAAAGATCATTTGTGATTTTTAATAGTTAAGAGACTTAAAAAAACATCACCCTATAGCCGAAGGAACATTTGTGTACTTTTACTCTATATCACGTTTTATCATTTACTACTCAATTTATAGATTTTAATTTTTTTTGTTTACTCATTAATAAGATATTGCGTTACATTAGTACTTAAATTCATATATTTACTCAATTTTTTTCTTAAAAAAATGTATGCCAATTTATTCCATCTTTACTTTCCCCAAGAATATTTAAATTAAAAATAATGAAAAAAGCAATTTATTAACAAATAATTTTACATAAAATGGACAAGAATTAATGTCGAAGAAAACAAAACCGTATCTACTTAACGTAATTTGGAAGGCTTTCGAATAACAACTTAGGATGTTAACTATAAAATGTATTGTCCTCCTTTTCTTAATTTTACGGATTTTCTTCTCCTTCTTGCTTTATTTTTGGGTAAAGTAAACAAATAGTTACTCGATTATATGATGGTGCTTTGTTGAGTCCCTCGATTATTAAAAGTTACAAAATAGTCCTTCGAAGGGTGTTTCTTTGTTAAGTCCCTCGACTATTACAAATTATAAAATGATATGTTAAAAATTTAACAATAGTCTAAGTTGGATGCTAACTTGTTGACTGAGATATGATAGTTTTTTTAACAATATGGGATTAGATTTTATCATATTTCAGTCATCAGGTTAACATCCAACTCAAATTGTCATTAATTTTTTAACGAAAAAGGACGAGATTGTAACATACTAAATAGTCGGGTGACCATTTTGTAACTTTTAATAGTCAGAAGACTCAACAAAGTAACACTCTATTATCGGGGATCATTTTGTAACTTTTAATAGTTAAGTGACTCAACAAAGCATCATCTTATAGGATGTTGCTTTGTTGAATCCATCGACTATTAAAAATATACAAGGTTTGTTACATTTTAGGGTAAAGTATATAAGGTTTATTACATTTTAGGGTACAATATACAAGGTTTATTAATTTAAGATGATTACAAGATAGTATATGTTCTAGAAACTCTCAATTATTTAACAATAAAAGTTTAATCACTTTTGCAGCACTAGTAAATCAAACCTGGGACCTCGGGATAACAATCATCCCTTTAACCACTGAGATAACTTAATTCGTACATTTAACTAATTAAATTAGTATTCATACGCTAAATGATATTAAAATGTCAATATTACATGGACTGCTCCCAACACCCTTAATGGGTCAAAACAAAATTGGGATAATCAATTTATATAATATTTTTGACCGGTATTATTTAATTATTATTTTTATTAATTTAGGGTGATTATAAGATAGTATCTATTTTAAAGATTCTCAATTATTTGACAATGAAAATTCAAATACTTTTACAGTCTTTGGCACTCAAACTTGGAGTCTTTAGAAATTACAACCATCTCTTTAACCATTGAAGTAGTTTAGTATGTAGATTTAATTAATTAAATTAGTGTAGGTACGCTAAATGATATTAAACTTTTGATTTTAATAAGGTAAACGTATATGAAATACTAAATAAAATAACACATTAATAGATTATCAAATATAGATTAATTGCTGTAGAAGTTTATAATTTTACTATAAAGCATCCCCAGCACAAAATCTTTTAAGCTTTTAACAATGTACGTGTCATCCTAAGTAAAAGGACTTTGTAATAGAACTTAATTTGATCGAATTGACAGAGCAAGGAGGTGTGTTGGTATTACAAAATATTAACTTTTTATCGAATAATTTAGTAATTTTCGATCAATAAAAAATATCTAATTTTTATGAATATTTATTTATGTGGGTGTCTATCTTTATCTATAAGATAAGATTTTGGTATACATTATTAGATCTCTAATATCAATTAGTTTTAGAGTTGTATATTACATCTACCACTTACGGTTATAAATATAGATGTTAGAGAAAGTATTGCACACAATTTATATTGAGATACTAATACAATTCTCTCTCCTTAGTCTTGTATCTCTTCTTCATGTTCTTCTTCTTATTGTATCATTCTTTCTTATTTCACAAGTGACGACAAGTTATCAACCCGAGTTTACTTAAAGAATTTTTAATTAAAGAATAAGTTTATCTTTTTCTAATTCAAGGTAAGTCATCTATCTTTCATTGTTCATTTTTCTTATACTGGAAGAAATTATTATACTGTTTCACTTCTAAAAGTTTTTGCCATTGTAATGGTTATGCAAAAGGCACTCAGAGCTCATACTAAAAATATATATATTATGAGCATTGTCAAAGGTTAAAGATGAATTTCAATTTTCCATAACGACTTTTAATATTTTCGCTTTGAACAAACTTGTTTTTACGATAGTTATCTCGAGCAAGTATATTATCCTATTACTTCAACTTTTAATTCAGGAATTTAATTTTAATTTATGATTTTTTTATCACATGTTAGACTTGTGTGACTACTGTTATTGAGTTCTATTATTTGCATTATTATAATCTTAAAAAGGGGATTTGACTTATTATGCTAATGGATTAACCTTAGTCTCCACTTGATTACCTAACGAGGATTACATATTTAGGTTGATTAGTATTATTGAACTTTTGACATATGTTGTTATTTTTTATGATATTTTTGGCATAGATAACAAAAGGTAAAAACTTAAAGGTTGATTAGTCAATACTATTTTTTTATTATTTACGAGATTTATTATTTTTATTTTATGGTTATGATTTTATCATGAAATGAATGTTGTTTTAGTGTTTGTGATAATGTAGGTGAGAACAATCATGATTATGATAACATTGTTAACAACCTTCATGTACACTTACCATGATTTATATTTATTTGTTGTTTTTCTCATAGTAAATCAATATTAACTTTTGTAGTACAAAATTTATTGAAAGCTCTAGAAGAACTAAATGTATTCCTATTCGAATAAATAATTTCATGATGGATAATATACTTTCAAGCTTTAAGAAAACTTGTATATTAAAATTGTCTAGTTTTCTTTTACTTGTACTACATTATGGTAAACCAAAAGTTTGTAAGTTTGTATGAATGGGATTGAATCACATGTTATGGTAAACTAGAAGTTTACAAGTTTAAAATTTTAATTAGTTGGCATGTTTGGTTAGACCATCTAATCAATAATGATGCTAAAATTATTGAGATTTACATAAAGTAAAAGAACATGAAGTTCTTGTGTTATTTGTTCTCAAAAGGAATTTAGAACATCACTAGTTAAAGTTGAGACTTAATGTCTTTCATATTTGATTGAAATATGAGCTCATTTAACCACAAAGTGGGAGATTTTGATATGATTTTAGTAGATACATCTTCGAGATAAATCACACATATGTTATCAACTCACAACTTGTAGTTTGTGAGATTGTTTACTTGATTAGAAAAGGAAAAGTTTTAGATTATGCAATTAAGACTATTCGTCTTGCTAAATTAAGTGAGTTTATATTCTAGGCTTTTAAAGATTATATTGTATATCAGTTTAAATAATTGTTACAAAGTATATTGTTTATGAACA